GTATTGGTATCCAATATTAGCAACAAATACCAAATAATGGGATATATCTTCTCTTATTAACGACTATATAGAAAGAACTGAAATTGTTACTGTATTTAGGCGTAGCAAATTATGAAAAAATGAGAAGAAGAAAAACCCTTTGATACACACTAGAGCCCACTCTGTAGTCAGCCTGTTGTTTCCCAATCAAAATTCGTGGATATATTAAGTCGTATCACTTGAGCCCTATCAATTTATCGTATTATCCTCATCAGGTGGGGTTAATCTGATACACAATTTTGATTTTCTTTCAAGAAGTGTGGTATGTCTTAAGTCATTTTTAGTTTCTTGCGCTTAAGAAGGACTTTTATAAGAAAAAGTTATATAATGCTGCGCGATCAGCTAATTTTCGGCAGAAAAACTCTTATTACAGGTCCTTGGTAACGATAAAGTGAATAAATCTAGTTGCTTAATTTAGAAAAAATATTCCTCTAACACGTGATGTGGCCAGAATCCCTCTTTGTGGGTACTTGATATTGAAAGATCGATTGTCGGCAAAACATCTGCCTGTGAACAATGCTAGCGGCTAAACCATTCAACCAATCAAAATATTTTGGCATCTCACAACTAATATATTAAAGATAAAGCTTTTTTCCCTTTATAAAATCTGTTTCTTAATTTAATTTTGAAATAGGTCATGTACAATTTTTGTAATATTTAAGTATTTTTTGCGTGATTTTGCTTGAAATAGAGGCACTTCTTAATTTTTGTTTAAACAATTTTTCTTTAAAACGACTGCATTGTTTCTGATGAAATTTTGTTGGTCAATTGTCTGAAGAACGTATACGAAAATGGTGCAGGTCTCATATTGGTTAAAAAAAACTGATTTTTCGAAAAAATGTTTCGGCATCTTCCTACAACTACAATTATGAAGATAAAAATTATTTTTGTTAATGTAATGTGTTAACTAAATTAGATTTTCAAAGTCATGTTGAATTTTTCGAAACTATAAGTATTTTCGGGGTAAATGGGCGTGAAAGTTAGTTGCCCGCTCTGAAAATCCTATGCTTGATCGTAATTTTGGAGGTATTTTGAAGTAGTTGAATACAAAAGTTAAAAATATATTATTTCATATTCATATTATTATTTATATGAATATATCTTACTAAATTTTAAATCGCGTCCTTTAATTGTGTTAAATGTGAAAACGAATGGATGAGCGGTCATTGTTGGTTCTTGTTACCCGTTGTAACGCTGCACAGATAAGAAAAGGCAATAATGACAACTATTTTTCAATCGTGGTAATAAAAAATAATCCTTTAATATATGTGTAGAATATTAGAATACCATAGTGTTTCATAATTACTATTATTTTTTTTCAATCTATTTGTTTGCCAACGCTATCAGTATGATATTATTTATTAACTATAATTATTTTACTTTCTCGCATACTGCTTATTTTTCACACCAAATGTTCTACGATTTCAAATTAGTTTTACAAAACATAATTCGGAGAAAAAATTGCGATATATATATTACCACATAGCCATTACTAATGGCGAGAAAGTAGGTGCTGTTTTAGCACCACTAGTTTTCTTCGTGCCTTTAGGATCAAAAGACACGTATTCAGTAGCATTTTCATGTGTTTGCTGCAAGCGGTACAGAATATAAGATGATAAGTTTGCTTTTCTATATCACAAAAGCCTCTTTTGACCGAAATTATCGAAAATTCGAACGTTGTCTAGAAGCTTGTGCGAAGGAAAAGTTACACTAATGAGATGTTTAACGCCTTTATAGCAACTCCCCCTGGTGAAGAAAATTTGTCCTGCTTCCGCTAAGTCCATATTTTCCGCCCTTGGAAACTAATGAGTGAATTTATTGGAGCGCAGGTTCGTATACTAGATGCGTTTGCGGAATCACATCAATCACGTTATTTGTACCCGTATCCCCAGAAGGAAACCTCAAATGTCATTAGCCTTGCAGAAGTATAGCGGACTCTTATTCGAAACTACAGTGTTACCAAACCAGGTACTGTTACAGATACCGTGCTCTGAAACGACCAAAGAAATGACAACATATTTTTGCATAGGGAAAATTAGAAACATAATAAGTTCTACCACAAACATTTTTGCGCATGGTAATTTAAATAATATTTTCAAACGGTAACTCATAGTTATTTTCAGACCACCCGTATAGTAAGACTAGAATATATCTGCTAGCGAAAAATGGAAGAATCATTGAAAGACACTAGATATTTTAATAAAACTTATGGAATATATTTTAGAAGATGGATTTCACGTATTTTGAAGAAGTAAGGAAGGAATTGTCACTTTCTATGGAGCAATGGCGTGTGTACTGTAAAGATCAGAAATCATAAAACCAAGCGAATAACGAAGGGATGTGACTTATGACTCACATCCATTGACGCCTGAGGGCATAATTTTTCACCAAGAGCTATCCTTTTTATTATTATTATTATTATTATTATTATTATTATTATTATTATTTGCCGAACGGATGTCTCAAGTACGTTCAAACATCGAGATATCTCATGATTTGAATAATTGCCTGTGTCAACAAATGCTTTCACTACGGCGATCTACCGGCTTTTTCCAAACTACAAGTCAAAGTCAAGTAGTTCATGTTTTTACCGTGGGAAGTGCCAGTGGTCTTCCCCCGGTGGATGGCGAGATCCGGCGCCGACCTACCCGTTTGGCAATAAATCAAGTCGACATTCTAAATTCCGGAAATTTCTGTTTCTGAGCTCTCCACTGGGTAGCTTGTACTCGACACTGTTTGGTGACTCACACGTTTCCCTTGAGACTTCAGATATCCAGATTTTTGATATATGTTTATTATTGACGGTAATGTTAAATACCATCTTGTCACAATTTGAGAAATAACATAGAAGGCAAATGTTTGTTTTTGAGGTTCGATGTGCTCTAAATTAAAGTTACATGGAAATGAACAAAACCGTATTTCCTCACACTATTTAGTTACATTGATTGAATGTATTATAGCATAATATAAACAAACCATAAAATGAATAGTGAAGAGAAGAAGATTAAAATAAGAAGAAAATTAAAATAAAAAAAAAACACGGTCTTGAAGAACTGGAGTAAAGTTCTACAGCTGTTTGAAATTAAACGTACATGCACTTTCATAATTGTAATCATTCATAGCGAGAATGGAAAACCTGTTAATAGTGTAAAATATGTAATGAAATTTTGCAAAATTGACCTAAAATAAAAAAAGAAGAAAAACAACAAATGACCCAATAAGAACACGTTCCATCAACCCGAGGCTCAAGATAAGGACGCAGTATCCAAGTATGCAATGTCTTCAACGCGCCAGTTGCAACTCTAATAATTTAATTACAATTCAGATTCCTAAAATAATTCGATAACACTCGCTATAAACGAAGTGAGAATTGTGAAATTGTGGCATTGGTGAGGGCAGGCGTCATACACACCCAACCGCAACCGCTTTGAAGCATCCGACGGTGAGGGCGCGCTGGCTGGGGGTCGGTTGACGGTCACCACCCATCCCTCCCGACCACGCCCTCGCGACCTCATTATTTTTAATAATTATGCGATTCGTACATAACTTTATTAGTCTATAAAGAAATTGCGAAAAAGGAGCCGGCGGCCGGATGACGGGGCAAGTAATTAACGGAATTACAGGGAAAAGTTTAGAAAGAAATTTGAGATTTCCTTATTCATAATTATACATTTTACTTTTTAATTGTGCCGCGTCGCGCCGCGCCGGTGCGCGCGATGCCAGGGAAGTGCGGGATGGCGCCGAGGCGGTGGCAGCGTACAGTGGGCGCGAATGACATCGCCTGCGCAGGGGACTTGTTCACGAGGAGGAGGCGGGCGTCGTGTCCCGCCAGAGCGTTTGACGTCCCTTGCTTGCGACAGGAATTTCCTTTACAAGGCAAGAAAGAGGATGCTTCCTAACCAGACGGGAGGGTTCCCCCCGAGGCCGATAGGTCGAAGCTAGTACGTATCACGTCAGTTTTGCCTTCTGACGTACAATATTTTAACAGAGACCGCAATTTTATTGAAATATGTCTATGTGATATATACAAATGTAATTGACGATCACGAGATCGTATCACGTATTTTTCCGTTCGGGGGGTTGGCAATTTTTTTAAAATCATTGTACTTTCGTTACTCGTACGGAAAGTATCTTCCGTACGTTTACAGGAGGTGTTGGACTATCGTGTTGGAATACTTTGTAAGTATGCGTCACATTCTAGGTACTTTTGGGGTTTTATTCACATTAATCAATATATAAGTTCCTAATTTATGATTTTCTCTCTTTGAAAAGTTAAAATCAACAAAATTGGACCAGAAAGTTTTCTCTTGAGCATTCAGACTGCTGCATTAGCGGAGTTTAACTCATCAATTCGTTGAGATTTTGCGGATTCGTCATTCCCTTCCTCAGAGTTTTCAACGACTCCCTCCTGACAATGTTGCCAATTGGTGCGCTGGAAGTGGCGCTTGGTGAGTGAAATGTTTTATGCTATTTTCTGGCAAGTATTTCAACAGAGACAACATCTTAATATTTTTACATAAAAAAATCTCGAGTTTTGACCTTTTGATTCCAATTTCTTATGCTTTTAGTGTTTAATTTGAATTTGATAAATATTCAAATGACACAAGTAACAAGATAGGTCTACTAAGAACATACTTTTAGGAACAATTTCTCTCTACACACGATATAAAATTTCTTAAAAATAGAATAATTTTTATCATTCGAGGTTTACAGTTCTTTATCAAAGACTGGCAAGGGATATCTTTTTTTACATTTTTTTGTAATATTAGTCTTGATTGGTTCTTACTTTTGCAAAATAATTTCTCATATACGCGTACTTCAAAAGTTTCAATCACGAATTTTTAATATTGTTTTTCCCCTTTTCCTGATGTTTTGTTTCCATTCACATGTGCGTTTCTAATTATTCCATTTTACGGTATTGCAACATTTGTCAATGTATGTTTTTGTGCGAGGTGCTCCGAATGCCGTTGCGGTGGCGACTGGGAGTGCAGGGGCCGGCAGGTGGGTGCGCGGGTGGGTCCGCGTCTCGGGCGGCAATTATGGCTCCCTAATTGCGGCGTCTTGGCTGCGCTCCCCTCCGCCGCCCCCGCTGGCGCAGGGAATCAGCGCTTCCTTTTTCGAGACCCTCCTCCCTCCCCTATTACCCCTTTACCACTTGCCTCGTATTGAGTGTGTGGGGGAGGGGGCGCTTAGACAAAATGTATGAATTTTTTAGGTGAAAAGAACTACGCGATTCTCAGTTACACCGTAATGTAAACAATCAATCCCATCTTCCGCGTAAATTGAACCTGTCTAAATTATTGTAAGAGAAAACTAGCAGAAATAGCAGCAAACATGCTGCTAAACAAAACCACACAAAATGATTTTTCCAAATAGTAGCAGGCTGTAGAAAAAGGATTCAATTCAATTTTGAAGAGGATAAAATTTCGGAAGTTATTAAATTTTCCAAAATATTCCTAAACCAAAAAATATGGTTGTATACAACACGGAAACAATGCAATTTTAACAAAACTTAAAATTATGTTGAGGCATTCAGATGCAACTTGGAGACGCAAACAATCCACAGAGTGAACGCAGTTACTATTAGTATGAAACGGTACTTCAATGGTATGAAACTGTTGTTAATGCCGTTTTCACAAGAAGATATCCCTACAGAAGTGGGTTTAGCCGATAAAATCTCCTGTATTTTTGAGCGAGTGGTTTTCTGGTAGATACGATTTTAAAAAACATTCGAAGATGCTCTGCATTCAACTCAAATGAATTAGAATCGTCCAGTGTCCAGAATTCTTCGGGTGTATTATATAGCGTTGAATGAAAAATGAGAATAATTTTATTATTTTTTCAATAATTTTCTACTTTATATTCTATATCAGACATTTGCAGGTTCTTTTAACCTCCATTTATTTTTCATATCCTGGGGCTAGGTGCTTCTGCCCATGCAGAATTTCTAACGAGTAACTCATGTACTTCTTCCGCATCTTATTTTGTTCAAAGAAGCGTAGTGAAAAAACTAATTTATATATGCCGATTTCAGGAGAACTAATGAAATTTAGTAACGAGAAGAATGGTTAAAGTAAGAACTGAAATGTTTCTATGAAATGACAATATCTTTAAAAAAAGTCGCGTAAGATTCAAGAGTATTTTTGTTTGTAATGAACATTAGCAATTCCTCTCGAAATGTTGTTTGATATATTAACCAAGAGAAAAATTTGTGTTCTGTTATTTTGCGAAATAAAAAAAATTAATATTTATCGCCGTTGAACCTAGATACGAAGAACGGGTGTTATTTGCACCTTCCTCCCGAGAGAAAATCATTTTTTATGTTACGTGGAATGTCATAATAAAATGAAATTAATAACAGTATTAATTGTATTTCAAGAATCTAAGACTACTAAAAAATATCGTTTAGTAGTTTGCCGCAGCGGCGAGTTCCATGGTTTGCATCTTTCGCGCTCAGTTTGCCGTACGTCCTTCGACAGATTTCGAGTCCTTTGGTCTTGCCTACGATCACAGATGGGGCAAGGGTGAGCTTTTAGCCTCTTCATAAACAATACAAGCGGAAGCGTGGAGAAAAAGAACGCTTTCAGTGTTCGGTGTTGTGAGACAAAATAAATGCATGTTATTTGAAAATCTTACTTCTTTTTACTCTGCACGCGGACCTGTAGTGGTATTTAACTTCATAAAAATGGGCCCATTTTCTGTAAAAACAAAGCAAATATCATTGTTTGTTAATTTGTAATAATAATAGTATTAGGTAAATTTCCGAGTTTTGTGACATTTGATCTCCCTTCCATAATGTAATTTTGTATAGAGATCCGACTCTACTAAACAAAGAAATCGAAGTGAAATCATTCATGAAATCGACCTGTTCCTTACTTACTATTCGACCCTTCCTTACTACAGTAAAGCCTCCTTAGCACGAACTCGCTTAACACGTATTAACACGAACAAAACATGGGGCCCGGGAAGGGATACGGAACAGTGATACGGACAATTATATTAATCGGATAACATGAATTTTCATAACACGAACTCTGATTGTTTCGGTCCCCTAAAATTCGAATTAATGAGGTTTATTGTAATTAAATGCATGATTTATATATAGAAATTCTTTGCGATTACAAATTACACTTCGAGGTTATTCATATTTCACATTCAAAATTGTATTATAAAGTTCTTAATGTACGTCATCAATGAAATGTATCAGATTATTCGTGGAATATTGAAGTCAAAATAGCACAAAACTTAGAATTTGATGGTTGTTCGCCGCTTGAAACCAACCATCAGTAATTTTCTTGAACTAATCCGCGCGTAAAACCAGCGCAAGGCGCAGCTGCGTCGCTCGTGGCTCGTCGTTTGCTCGGGGCGCCTGCTCGCCGCGTGTTTCCACAGAGCAGGGGGGGGGGGTGTTTGAGGGCCTATTAAACAAAACACGGGCGGGCGTCGGCTGACGGCGCGCGGCGCCGCCTGTTTAGAAAAGGGCCCACGCTCTCTTGCCTCGTCGCCGTCCCCGCAGGGCGGCTGTCATAATCAGCGGTCGGACTCATCGAGTTTCTCGCTGAGTGGGCAGGGCCCACGTTTAACTTAGGCAGTTAAGGTTTGTATTCTTACGTGGTTTTAATTTTTCTGATTTCATTGCCATGTCCTTTACTTTCGTCGACATTCATTGGGAATGTCGCTTGGGATAATATAAAATAATAATAATAGTAGTAATATTATTAGTAATATCACTCAAATAGTAACAATGATATTAGTATACTAGGATATATTTATCAATCTTCCATGTAAGGTATTTCCAAATAAATTTAGAGGCATGAAATCTGCCAATGAAATCACTTATTTTCTAACATATTCATTTTCTATGAATAGTAATTGATTTTATTTTCAAAATTGCTCCGGGTCTTTTTTACTTTCTCGCACTTACTAACGTAGGAAGAGGAAGTATTGTGATCGTGCGCCTGAAAACGGCGAATTTTCGAGCCAAAAACTCCATTGCCGGACCCTGGTAAGGAAAAGGGGATAAATCCAGTTCTAAATTGTGAACAAAAAAAGTTTAACACGTGGTGTAGCCAGACTTCATATTTCTGCGTCCTTCATACCCAAAAATCGATTGACCGCAAAACGTCTATCTGTCTGCCTGTCAGTCAGTGCACAACGATGGGGCATAAACCGTTTAGCCGATTTTCTCCAAAATTGAAATTCCCCAATCGTTCTAGCTGGTGTCGCAGATCCTGGGATTTAAAACCGATATTTTAATTGGGGGGGGGGAGGGTTCTTTTCATTAAATGCTTGCGACATTTTGAAAATAAAAAAATGAATGGCTCCAAATGTTTTGATTAAATTATGTTGTTGAATAGTGCAAAAGACGATCAAGAGAAAAGTGACCCGGAGGTCATGTACACTTTTATGAAAACCAGGTAGGTTTTGGGTTATTTCCGATTGAAATTTACGAAAGATGGTGCTACAACATTTTCGGGTATTGCTCGGTATTTCTAACATTTTTTAAAAATTTAAAACTACAAATTGAAAGATAGATATTTTTGCCTCAGACAATGTCTGTTGTACAAAATTTCAAAAAAGGTTACGTACAATTCTTTGAAGAAACCACTAGTTTTTGCGTAATTTCTGTTTGAAATTAATGAAATGTATACAGGTTTTTTACACCAAGTACGTGCCACAATAACAATTGAATGAATGATATGAAAAATAATGAATTTAATTTTTATTATAATTTACTTTTGATAATGCCAATATTAATTTTGTATTTACTTTCTCAGTTTTTTACTTTTTACTCAATTTGTATTTTCAATGTATTAATGTACTTGATTTTAAGCAATCTGCAAAGCCTAATAGGAACAGCGCAACAATGCGGCATCGGTAATTTAGAAGCTAATTGTTGTCGAACGTCGTTATGTTAGCGGTGATAAGATATATTTATTTAAGTCCAGCTTGTTCTGGCGTAACTTTAGACGGAGAGATAGTACTTTTTTTTGTGATGAATTTCGCTGTAGATTTTTGTTATTGCTTCTCAAAATGCCCGGTGATGTTTGTTATATATCATTTAATACCATGTGATCCCTAAAAAAGTTATAGCGTATTGAACAAAAGAGAAACGAAACGCTATCAGAACACTTATCTTACGATGAAAGGCAACTCAGGAGTGACCGGGCTGAATTTTCGTCATTATTTTGAAGTCAATTGCATACATTCTAATTACTATATTGATATTATTAGCCAAGCGAAAGCACATTGTTTTGACAACGCCTCACTGGCAACAGTGCGATGCTCTTTTCTGTATAATTTGCTGTTAATACTCAAATCAGTCAAGTGCATTCCTGTTTATTTTGTTAGTCAAAGTTAGAAAAGATTGCTGCCCCTGACTATTAAAAAGAATGCACATATACATCACAGACGCTTTGTTTGAATTGGACTTTATCAATTAATTGTAGCTGAGGTATTAATAGCGCACAAAAATAATACTTCAATTTTACGTAGCTGTTTTCAAATTCGCGAGAAAGTATGTGCTGTAGTAGCACCAATAGTTGTATAACGAAATAATAAAATTTATTATCATATTTTATATTGTTTCCTCCTTAAAGTATCACACGTTTTTTTCTATTCTGCGGAATTACCTCTTTTAATCTTCGAACCAGAAAAATACGGACAGGAGAATTCCTGCTGTGATAGGTGTCCAGCACATGATTTCCATTGTTAATATCATGTTAAAGAAATCAGAACTAGGAACAACTGAAAATTTAAATGTCTGATTCTTATTATAGGAAGGTGACTGCGGAAGTGATTTATATTTCTTTCTTCAACCAAAATATTTTTATCCTTACGATTTGAGGAGAATTTATCAAATTAAATGGAAACTGAATATTCCTGAGCGTAATATATGGACAATTAAAATTAAGGCCATATTCTGTTATTAACCAAACTATATGTGTTTTAAAAGGAATTTTAGGCATACGTTAAATATTTTGATGATTTAATTTTAATAATCTTGTAGTATTCATAATCCAATTGCTGGGTATTTTTTTGGCCCGGTTGCGCATTTTTTTACATGGGTTTCAGTAGTCATCGTTTATGGGTAATTTATTAACTTCTTTCACGTTCCTCTCAATTACTCGACGGAGGTAGCGGCAGTAGAGTTTCTGCCGGCCTAGTTAGCGTCAGAACGTCGACGGCATCGGCGGCAGGGTCGGGGGAATCGGGGAGGACGAGACGGGTGTCTCATTATTTGAAATTCGATAACAGCCCTATGGTTCCTGCGCAGCGAAGGAGTACGCGTTCCCGCGCTCATATTTTTTATTAGTTGCTTCCTCGATTCTCCGTCGGAAGCGCTCCAGTGGTCTGGCTACGGTTTGTCTGCCGCTGCTGCATCCTCCGCCTCCGTTGCCGCCGCCGTCGCTCGGCTTCTAGCGAGTCGGCTAGAACGTTGTATTGACTTGCAGATATTATATAACGGCGTTCTCGTGGCTGTATCGGGTTTCACTAACTTTGGCAGCCAATTAAAAATATGAAACGCGATCCGAGGCTGGTTGGCGGCGCCCGCCGCCGCTGCAGCCATTTAAGGGGTTGGCTTCTAATCAAAGCTTGAAACTGGAGGCGCATTGCGAACTTTCAGAGCCGG